TAAAGCCAAAGCATTGGTAAAGGCTAAGGCTGGAAGCTTCAATGCAAGCATCTCAAGCAAGATGATTAAGATTTAGGTTCTAGAACGTTAAAATAAGGAAATTTTGGGCGGAAGAATAATATTATTGCCACCTGTTTATTATTGCCGATGTACCTTAAGTAGACCTTGTCGGGCTCCAAACTTGTTAGGATGCAAATTTGATTGTCCGGGATTTTTCCGGCCCAGCACCTCAATGCCATTGTCACCCCAATTAATAATGCCATGCTAACATTAGATGGGTTACAGGCCTAGGATCCCCCGTAGAACTCCCCCATCCAAAAAACGGCTGGGCTGCGTGCATCTTGTTTGAAGAGTATAGGCATGGAGAAGAAACTCGTAAAATTGTACTTTGCGTTGCAGCTTTCATGGCAAAGAACATGCCAAGCAGCCCTGAAGCACACACTCCAACATGAAGCCAGCTCTACATGACAACACGACGCGAAAGCGCGAAAGCCCACGAAAACTCTTTGTCAAGGGATGCTGTGAGTGGGGGGGGGCGGGCCTGTGCCTAGCCAGGCCCAGCTCCGCAGGCAGCACAAAGCCAGGAGCCTTGTTTGACATCTTTGACTTTACAATGTCACAGCACAGACGTGTGGCTTCCTTGCCTGGCCACGCGTTGAGCTGGTCGGCGGCCTCCCGTGACTCCCCGACCCGCTTGAAGAACAGCTCTCTAAGCTCTTGACTGCCTTGAGATGTCACGTGAGGATCTCATTCTGAGGCTAAAGGCTGCAGAGAAGCAGAAACATGTTGGAACTTGTCAACTAAAACTAGGCAAAATGCTCAAAGACTCCTGCACTGCCCGCGTCGTTGTTTGTTGCAGAGCTCACCACTCCAGCCCTCCCTTTAGGAGCAAAAGGCTGTGCTGACTTAGACAGTGGAAATTCAAATGAAGGTGAAAATCCTGTTTTGCCCACAGCTTTTCAGGATCATCTCCTTTTCTTTTGCAAGGAGAGCTTTGTCCTCTGGGCTCAGACAGCAGACTCCACCCTCGACTCGTCCAAAGTGCAGCTTGCCCTCCGACAGCGTCCTGCATTCAGCCACTTCCAGTTCCTGAAACTTGAAGTCCCTCTTTCTCAATATGTGAAAAGACGGTGTTCTGCACAGAGCTGTTCCTTGCACTTTTTGACTGCTGGGTCATGAACCATTGACCATGCCCGGAGTGCTAGGCTTCCGGATTGTGAATCAATGAAGGGGCACGCACGACTGTCTAAATTGCCATGTGCGGGGCAGCGGTTCGTGTCGTAGAGTTGAGTTGTAGGAGAATGCTGTAACGTGGCGTGCCTTTGGACAACAAACTGTGCTGCACTAACCACAACCGTCGCGCCTCATATCAGTGCACAAGTGCCAGAATCAGCTGCTTGTCAGCTGATAGTCACACGGACAGCATCCATAGTCCAGTCATTAGAGCGCATGCCAGAAGTTTCACAACCGAGGCCCGAGCCTGCCATGCGTTGCAAGCGCACCAGTCCCTGCCACACGTTCCCACTACAAAGAAGAAGCTCTTAAAAGCACATAGACGCTGCATCTGGAAGGCTCTCTTCAAGGGTTCGCCCTCCACAATGCGTCACATGTGAGACACACCCGCAGATTTGAGCAACTGGGGCAGAAATGGGCGCTGGAACTCGACACCCAGAAGGTAAACGCGCTTCGAGTGCCAGGCAGGACCATATGAGCGTTCGCCGAAACTCCTTGTATAATTCGATGCCATGGACAATTTGGGGGGGTCCTATCGCCTTTGGGGGTTTGGGCGTAGGATACA